ATGCAAGGACATTGTTGGGATGGACTTCCAGTAAGGATCCTACTCCCCATAGGTGTGGAGGGGGAGAATTGTTAAAGATCTACACCAATGTGAACTTGGCTATGATGGAAGTCAAGTATGGAGGCTGTGAATATAGATTTGCTAAAGTTTTTCAAACCTAGGGTGGCTTGACATTAACTTGGTAGTTGGCAAGTAGAGGTCGGCAAATAGAGATTGATTTGTTTTTTGGGCTCTCCCGTTTGTGTATAAATAGGGAGAGCTGTAAGCTGAATTGAATCATCAGAAATAGAAAGACAGAGCAGAGAGTGTAATATGTGAGTGAGAGTGCTATAGAGAGAGAGTGAGGTGTGAGTGTTGTAAATTCCCACCGGAAAAATTGTATAGTGGATATCTCTCCCGTGGATGTAGGCTATTGTCGAGCCACGTAAATATCTTGTCTCTTTTCTGTGTGTGATTGATTTTTGGTGTGCCTTAATCCTAACATATGTTTGGGCCTCTGAGTCCATAATGGGTTATGCTTTAATAATTTGAAAAGTTTATTTTGTAAGGCCCTCTTTATATATCATGTATGAATAAAAAAGTCGATCTAATAAGTATAACCCACTACAACGTATAAGAGATTTATAGACTAAACTTTTTTGTTGCAAAAAATATTTGAGAATCAATTCCTATCGTCACAAGAATTATCACTAAAATATCGTTCTGAAAAGTAAAAAACAAGTTTTTAGCAACAAAATTTTAAAAATATTGCTAATAAATAAACGGGATAAAATAATTTGGCTTCAAAAAGATTTATTTTTTGAGACAAAATTTTAATCCTTGAAGAATAATAATTCATCACTAATATCTAGATTTATATGAGTAATGAAGAATGTGGATGGTTGGTAATAGGGGTGGCGTGGATCAATTGCGGTCACGGAACTTCCAATCCACCATCCGTCCGTCAGATTGGCGGATTGGAGAAAATCAATCCGCATTTGTCCGCCAATCCGGTAAATGCATATTGAGCGAATTGACAGATTGATACGAATAAGTTTAACGGTTTAAAATTTTATAAATTTTCGACATAATTTAATTGTGACCATCTTGGGTAAATGTATTAGAAGAGTCCAATTGGATAAATTTGAAACACCAGATTTGTTACCAGCAAGGGCAGTGACCATCTTCAAGGCCTTCCTCTTGTCTTTGTCATCATGTGAATCCAATTTCTAGATAAACTTCTGGAAGAACAAGTTAAGAACAAAATATCTCTATCACAACCAACCAATCTTCTCAACTAGCCAAAGAAAACTCCTTTTTTTTTTTTTCAACCACCCAAATTGGAACAACATAAATCAAAACCAAAAGAGTTAACCAAGCTTTATCAATTGAAAGATTCACAGAATTGAATCAAATCCCATTCAATATATCATCAATGAACATTTAAAAAATAAAAATAAAATTAATAGAATGTGACAGAAGTTTTAGTACTAAAAAACCCTCCTTTTTTTTTTTTGGGGGGGGAGGGGTTGGGGGGGGTTCTCTTGGAAAAATATATACTAATGTTGAAATTGTAAGAAAAGTTGGTGTTTTAAATCCAAAAAGTTTAGAGACAAAACAAGAAAAAAGAAAAAAGAAAAAGGGATATCAATTTTTGAAATCAGAGAATCAATAGTAGAAAGTACTAGAAATTCTAATGCTAATAAATCAACCCAAATTTTTTAATCCACAAAGTTCAAGAGGCAAAAAGTGGATATCAATTTAAATCAGAGAATCAAATAGATTCATAGAAATTAATCAATAATCAAACCCCATTCAACATCTAATATATGAACATCAAAAGGTAATATGATTTATATGGTATACACTTTTTAAAAGATGTGTATTAAATATATACACTTTTTTTTTTAAACATATGTAACATTATCACAAATGAAATTACGTAGTTTTTGGTTAAATTACGTATTTTTGTGATAATGTTACATATTTTTTGGTTAAAAAATATTTGGATAAAAAATATGTTACATTATCACACAAAATGTATAATAATACCAGAAAATGCATAACTTCATTTTTGAATAATAAATTGTTGTAATTTTTCTAAAAATTACTTAACATTTACTACAAAAATACATAACAGATACACATAGTATAAAACTTTTGAAGGAATGTTTACCATAGAGTTGCCCAATTTGAGTTGTCTAAATTATAGAAATTATCTTTTTGCCTATTAGGTTTGGCTCTATTGATTGGAACATGCATATCCAATTAGACAATATGAACTCAAATATGAAACTAAAGACTAAAATGAAAGAAATAGATAATTTGGAGATAAATGTGAAATTAACAGTTTTTATAAAGCATAGTTGGAAAACAATATTCACCATGTTTGGTTTTCAGATTTCCAAAACAATTTTTTTAATTTTTAATTCATATTTTTATAATTTTAATGATTTTTGAAAATATTTTAATCAAAATTTGTTTTTAAAATTTTTTAGATTCACTTAAGCTTACTATACTTAAAAAGTAAAAAATCTGTACAATTTTTTTTAAAAAAAATTCGTTGAATATAACAAAATACAAAAATGTATTGAATTTTTATATTTTTTTGTATTTGGTGAATTTTTAATTTTTTTTTATAAATATTATACTTTTAAGCGTATTTAGATTATATTTATCTAAAAAATAAAAAAATTGTGTAAAATATTAAAAAAATTCACTAAAAATATAAAAACATAAAAGTCAATTTTTTAAAAAGTCAACTCAATTTTTTAAACCAAACATAGCGATTACCTCTAAGATGTCTCCAATGTTAACAATGAAAGCATTTGGAAGAGGTTTAATAGGAATCCACATTCCATCTTTCTTGATCTGCAACCCTTCCATTTCATTGATCTAAAGGAGAATGGTGAGTCTGACCAGGTTCGAATGAGGGGTCAGTCCGATGACAAGCTCTGCTTGTGGGCATGATGGATAATAGTTCATCCTCATGGCACTACAAGAAATCAATTTTTAGGAACAAATTTATTCTGTCCCTAAACGTGTAATATTTGTTGGAATTTTTAATTTTTATTTTTTATCAACAAAAAAAGATTTATTGATGATAAAACAAAGTATAAGCAACAATACATTAACAAAACAAGGAAGTGCACTAAGCATCATAGCTAACTTCCACAATCCCAACTAGGTTGGCAGTGCGAAGGAAGCACAATCATATGTAAGCACTTGACTCAACCCAAGATTGGTGAGAAGTCAATCAGAAAACAGAACACCAATATAGCAAAACAAAAGGCAAGCCAAAAGGCAGGGCGAACAATAGCAACCTCTGAACCGTAGTATACATCAGCAGTATATGGCAAGTCAAGACAGCAACGTACAACAACAAACAATCTCAGAACATCGTCAAACATCAGCAGGTCTCCCAAGCCATACCACCCTCACCTGCAGTAGCAACAAATAAGCAATACACCAGCTTTAGCCAACTAATTTTGTTCGTTGCAAGGTTTGTCCCCAATGGTCCGTCTAGAAAAGTCAAAAATTGACTTTTAGAGAAAATTTTGCGTTTGCTACTATAAATAAACTTTTAGAGACAAAAATATGTGGTTGCAAAAAGTTTTGATTTTGAGACAACCAAAATTTGTCTTTAAATGCCTATTAAAAACTATGGCAAAAAAAGTAGTTTTTGAGACAAAAAAAATTGGTTTATAAAGTTTTAGTTTTTGAGACAATTAGAAGCGGTCCATAAAAGTTTTAGTTTTTGAGACGATTAATAGAGGTCTCTAAAAGTTATAATTTTTTTTGAGACAACTAAAATTGGTCTCTAAAAATTTGATAATATATATACATATATATTTTGCCTTTTGATTTTGTAACATTACTCATATATGACTTTTGCATCAATAATAAAATTGTTTCTCTGAAAAAAAATTGGAATTTTTTTTTTGATCAGCAAAACAAAAAGCTATATTGATTGCAACAACACACAATGTAAGATTCAAAAGATATTTTTTTTATTATATATTTTTCCTCCTATTTCTCAGCAAGCAAACAAATATCAAAGAACCAAATACCAGAACAACTTTCATTCACATCCACTAATTTATTATCAGCAATTATGCTAATATATCATCACAAACATCACAAATTTTTCTTTAAACGTCTATTACAAACTACGGCAAAAAAAAAAAAAAAAAGTTTTTGAGACAACAAAAGTTCGTCTCTAAAGTTTTAGTTTTTGATAAAATTAGAAGTGGTCTGAAAAGTTTTAGTTTTCGAGATGACTAATAGAGGGCTCTAAAAGTTATAATTTTTTTTGAGACAACTATAATTGGTCTCTAAAAATTTGATAATATATATATATATTTTCTTTTTGATTTTGTAACATTACTCATATATAACTTTTGCATCAATAATAAAATTGTTTCTCTAAAAAAAAATTACAATTTTTTTTTTTGATCAGCAAAACAAAAAGCTCTATTGATTGTAGCAACACACAACATAAGATTCAAATGATATTTTTCATATTTTTCCTCCCATTTCTCAGCAAGCAAACAAATATCAAAGAACCAAATACCAGAACAACTTTCATTCACATCCACTAATTTATTATTAGCAATTATTCTAATATATCATTGCAAACATCCAAAAGAAAGCAATTTGACTTTGACAGTTCCAGCAAAAAATCAAATAACCAAAAGCATAACACTAATACATCAGCCAAAATAACAAAAACACCAACTGCAACCCAGGTACCTTGCAAACCCCTGTATAGAAGTTGCACCTTTGGAGGGGCCACATTCCTCCATAACAAGTCTGAAATGTGGCTGATAGCTCATATGAGAGTTTGAGCATATTTAAAGAGTTCACTTCCGGGCCTAATAGCTCATATGAGAGTTTGACCATAACTTGTTTGATTAATATGGAATTCCTAATGCATTTTCACAAACAAAATAAGGTAAATTATAATCCATGCTTTGATTCATTAGCACATAATATATGGATTCTATATCATAAACTGACCAATTTCAAAAGTATCATTTCTAATTTATAAGGCTGGTGCTACAAGTATTGTTTATAGCATTCAACTATTCAATGAACAGATTGTAAATTGCCGTCATATCTACCTACAGAACAGAACAACTCATTGCATCTTCTTCTCAAGGGCTTCATTGAAATGGCATTCAAAATCTCACAGAGAGCTCCCAAGCCTTCAAATGGACGCAAGCTTGCAAGACCTGCATAGAACTGAGAGCTTAGACCAAGCTTGCAGGACATGATAACAGTAAACACTATATAATTGCTTTCCTTTCTAATTTCTTACCCAAAATCTTGATTCAAAAGAAAAAGTTTAGTTTGTTGGGATGGCTAGCTTGGAAATGAAGACTGAAAACTGTATCTTACTTGCAACATATTGGAATGCTAAGAGGGAATGCCTAATGTAATGTGTATATTTTGTCAATCACAAGCTAAATGTGTAAATTACTTAATGTTGTTGTATAGAAACCCACAAAGGAAGTTGAATGTGGATATCAAAAGATAACTTACTAAGAAGAAAAATTAGTAGAGGGTCCTCTTTGACTGATTTGCTGCATCAAGAAGTTGACTTTGGAAAATTAATCGGTATTAAAATACAATGAAAGTTAACGAAAGATTAAATTCTGAAACTAAGATTAACATCAAAACCAAAATGCTCAACAAAAATCCACGCAACTGTAGGTCAAGTGGATAAATATCGGAAGCCTAGTAAAAAAAAAGAAAAATAAATAAAAGAAGAAGAAGAAGAAGAAGAAGAAAAGGGACAAATTTCCAAATCCAAAGCAATAGAATCTTGAAAATATATTTAGCTAACTATTTTGCTTTGACATGACTGCGTAGTAGTATAAAACAGAAAGATGCCACCATTCCAACCAAGTACTCGGCTATAGCTCTATAACTCATGCAAATGGGCCATTCCTATTAACAAAATACAATTGGTATACGAATCAAAATAGGCGAGCGGATCCTCTAGAGTAACCCTCTAGAGTGATCTCCTAAAGTGGATGATCGGATGGCTCAGAATACTCCTCACCAAAACGACGTCGTTTTGGTGAGGAATTTCAACAAAAAAAAAAAAAAAAAAAAACAGATTTAGGGATTTCAAAACATGGAAATGCAAATCTGAAATTAGAAAGAGAGAGAGAGAGAGAGAGAGAGAAAGGCTCACCTTCCAGGCTTGATGATTCCACTAACATCATGAAGGATTGATAATGGTTTCTTCCTACTTGGAACCACATGGAGGTAGTTCAAGAACCCCTTTTAAAACAGAGAGAAACAGAGAGAGAAAACAGGCTTAGTTCAATTTACAAATTACAACACAGATATAAACATGTTTATGTGATCTAATTGAGAAAATTCACCTCAAAAAGTTTAATGGAAAAGTTGAGAATTGTTGAAAATGCTCTACCACCAACATAAGCTTCTGCATCGACATTCAAATGCTCGAACCGGACTTCAATGGTGGGAAGATCAATCCCAACTCTGTAAAAATCAGAAAAACAGAGACACAAAAAAATAAATGTGTTTCAAACACGATTACATCAACAACCCAGATCAATTTACAATCTGCATCTTCTTCTCAAGGGCTTCATTGAAATGGCATTGAAAATCTCGCAGAGAGCTCCCAAGCCTTCAAATCGACGCAAGCTTGCAAGACCTGCATAGAACTGAGAGCTTAGACCAAGCTTGCAGGACATGATAACAATACACACTATATAATTGCTTTCCTTTCTAATTTCTTACCCAAAATCTTGATTCAAAAGCAAAAGTTTAGTTTGTTGGGATGGCTAGTTCGGAAATGAAGAATGAAAATTGTATCTTACTTGCAACATATTGGAATGCTAAGAGGGAATGCCTAATGTAATGTGTATATTTTGTCAATCACAAGCTAAATGTGTAAATTACTTAATGTTGTTGTATAGAAACCCACAAAGGAAGTTGAATGTAGATCTCAAAAGCTAACTTACTAAGAAGAAAAATTAGTAGAGGGTCCTCTTTGACTGATTTGCTGCATCAAGAAGTTGACTTTGGAAAATTAATCAGTATTAAAATACAATGAAAGTTAACGAAAGATTAAATTCTGAAACTAAGATTAACATCAAAACCAAAATGCTCAACAAAAATCCACGCAACTGTAGGTCAAGTGGATAAATATCGGAAGCCTAGTAAAAAAAAGAAAAATAAATAAAAGAAGAAGAAGAAGAAGAAGAAGAAGAAGAAGAAGAAGAAGAAGAAGAAGAAGAAAAGGGACAAATTTCCAAATCCAAAGCAATAGAATCTTGAAAATATATTTAGCTAACTATTTTGCTTTGACATGACTGCGTAGTAGTATAAAACAGAAAGATGCCACCATTCCAACCAAGTACTCGGCTATAGCTCTATAACTCACGCAAATGGGCCATTCCTATTAACAAAATACAATTGGTATACGAATCAAAATAGAAGGGTAATAACCCAATGTTAGGTTCAACCAAGGAAATGAAGAGAACAAAATTGCTGCTTGAGCAATATTTAACAAAAAGCATAAACCAAAAAGGAGGCTAATGATGTTATTATATAGCAAAAGTGTTGGAAAAAAAATAGTTTTTTGGTAAACTTTAATGTGAAATTAAAGTAGGTCCTAACCATTGGTTAAGGTGAGATTAAATTGGTTTAGATTCTTTGTAACAAGATCTTTACACCACAGAAAAAATGGCCAAAAACCATTGAGAATTGAATGAGAAATTATCTCATAAAGATCGCCTCATGAATGATGTATTGGGAATTGTGTATAACTATCAATCCCACATTGATTGTAGAGGGAAACTTTGATGGGTATTTAAATCTCAAGATTTTGATAAGGGTATGAGCCCTTTGGGGCATCCAAATTTTTCTAAGGAAGGGAGTAATGGTTGTTTCAAGGATGGGCTTGGGGCTAAGACTATGGTTCAAGTTGGTTATGGAAAAATTGCCACACGCTTGTGTGCGCGCGCCGCCTGCCCTCCTGGACTAGGTTGGGTCCGTGGATCTTTGGTGGTGGATCGTGGATCTTGAGGCTTGAGGGAATGGGTTGGGTTTGGGCTGGGCCAGATTGGTGGTCCACCAACCTAATCTTTTTGGGCCAAGTTTACTGCAGATATATACCCTTGTGTGTACAGAATATATATCTCATATATAGTATTGTCCCATCAGTTTTGGTCCATTTCTCCCGCTGTTTTACAGGAGTAACAGTCATTAGTTGCCAGCCTTCATTAGTATTGGTTGCTAGCTTTCATGAGTATTGGTTGCTAGCCTTCATGGCTGGAGGCTACTCCTCTCTCTCCATGGCATATAAAAGGAGACCCATCTCCCTTGGTGTTGGTATAGATTTTTTGCTTCTAGAATATACTAGTCAGTTTGCTTGTTCATATATTTTTTTTGTGTAAGAGAGTGCTGCCATTGTCGGTTTGCCAAAGCTAACAGAAAGTGCTTCTGCGTTAGCCGGTCTAAGCCATCTTATCTTGGGAGACAGAAATCGACATTGCTCCAGCACTCACGGTGAGATGACTAATCCGTTTTAAATACTGTGGTATCACACAGAATGTGGTTTGATTTCTCGTCTTTCAATATATTATGTGATATGTATTTCTGTATTATGCTCTAAAATGTAATATGGATTTATTTGATGTTCTATTATTGAATTTAATAAATTATGAATCTATTTATCTTGTTTAATTTACACAATTTGAATAACAAAGAGAATATTACATTTTATTCTTTATTTCAACTAGACTGTCTTTTTAACGATTGGCAGAAAGAAATGTATGTTTGAGCTTTATCAAGTGCACATGAGCTAAATTTACCCATATTGTGTTAAGTTGATCAAGCTTTTACAATTGCACTAGCCCCTGAATAATGGCTTCTTAATACATAAATATATAGATCCAATGAAAATAGTTCATCTAAACTGATATCGACGAGACGTAAAATTAGGAGATGCTTGCAAAAACAAAAGTTGTATCAAGCTATCAGCCCTCAAGAATCAACCATCATTCTCAATAAAAATAATTTATAAGGAATCCTAAGATTAAAAAATACATAAACTGCATACAAGGCAAATAATAAGAAGCTAACAAACTGCCTTCAAGTTTAATGTTAAAACAATGCCTGCCATGGCCTTTGCTAATCAAGTGGCATTGGCCAAGCCGCAAACCAAGCTCCAATAACAGCTCCATGAGCAGGTAGACAGATCATATAATCAATAGATCCTATTGGTATACCCTCTACTTTTTTTTATTTGTTATTTTTTTTATATACATTTTTTTAAATCCAAATCAAGGGAGACTCAAATGTTTACTCAAATTTTCAAAATTTACAACTTTTTCATTACTGGAGCTTTAACTCAAATTTATGCTCAAATCTGTTTTGTGCATTGGAGTGTTTCATATCAAAAACAACTTTTACTCAAAGATCAAATTTATGCTTAAATCTGTTTTGTGCATTGGAGTGTTGCATGGGTTGCATTTCTTCCTCAAACTCAAGTAATTTCATGACAAGGCTTTTAAGTTTTGCTGAATATGCTTCTATGGAATCTCTGCATGGTATGAGTCAAGTGTTTACTAATGATCTTTTTTAATCCATAGGAGACAATTTACAAAAAAAAAAAAAAAAAAAAAAAAAAAAAAAAAAAAAAAACAAAGAAAAAAAAAAAGAGAACAAGGGTTTTTTGGCTTATTTTATAAGGTCCTGATGTCCCACATCGGGAACAGAGGGGGGAGTTCCTTGGCTGTAAAGGTAAAAACTTGGACCATTATATAGCATCGAGGCCTTTTCTTGAGTGGTGAAATCCCTAGCAGAACTCCCCAGTTAAGCATGTTTAGATTAGAGTAGTTTTGGGATGGGTGACCCACTGGGAAGAACAAATTCGTGAGGGTGTGGCCCAAAGAAGACAACATCGATGCAATGTGAAGGGTGGGGGCGTTACAACTGGTATCAAAGCTGACTCTTCGGAGTACCGAGTGTGGGCCCTTAGTGTCTCTCGGTGCATGTGGGTGGGCTTGTGAGCTGGTAGGCTACTGCACAGGGACGTGCAACCTTAAGGAGGGTGGATTGTAAGGTCCTGGTATCCCACATTGGTAATGGAGAGGAAGTTCCTGAGCTATAAAAGTAAAACTATAGACCCTTATATAGCATCGAGGCCTTTTCTTGAGTGGTGAAATCCCTAACAGAACTCCTCAGTTAAGCGTGCTTAGGTTAGAGTAGTTCTGGAATAGATGACCCACTGAGAAGAATAAATCCGTGCGGCCGTGGCCCAAAGGGGACAATATCGATGACATGTGAAGGGTGGGGGCGTTACATATTGAGTTTTATTTATTTTCATCTTTAGTAATTTTTTTTTTTCAAAACTATGTCAAATATTTTTGCTTTTTGATCCGTCTTGAGTAGATGACAGTGACACTACAATAAATTAAAATTTTAAAGACATAAATTTAGAAATAATATTAGGGATCATGAAAAAAAATCATGAAATGTATGATGAAGATTTCTCATTCTTTGATTAGAGTGCAGTGTTTTATTATATGTATAATTCAAAGGTGGAGAATCTTTCATTATCATTTTCATGATATTTTTTTTTAATCATTCCTAGCATTTAGGGACGAATTGTCAAAAGTGTCATTATTATATTTTTAGCGAAAAAATATGATATTTAGTGGTGAGTTATTATCTTTTTAAGACCAAATTTTTTGTTTCAAAAAATAATATTTTTGGAACCAAATTATTTTGCCGTGTATGTATTAGCGACATTTTTAAATTTTATTGCTAAAAGTCTCTTTTTAGACTTTTTGAGATTATCTTTTAGCAATTTTGCTCGCGACGATATAAAATGTCTTTACAACAAAATTTCACTTTTAGAGACAAAAAGCTTAGTTTCTAAGACTCTTATACGTTGTTTTTCTTGATGGAGATTCTAATTACTTTTTTAGATAAAGTGTTTTTAGCTTGGGAGATCCCTTTCAGAGCAAAAATTATTATAGGTTTGTTTGGGTTGTGAGTTGGCTTTTTGACTATTTTAGCTTGGGGCTAAAAAGTCTCATTTGGGATGGGCATTTTGACTTTTTTGACTTTTGTGAGAGAAAAAATGAAATGATTATTGTTTGGATGTGACATTTTGGCTTCATTTGGGATGTGGGTTGACTTTTTGGCTATTTTGGCCTAGGGCTAAAAAGCCTCGTTTGAGATAAGCTTTTTGGCTTTTTTGATTTTTGTGAAAAAAATAAAATGATTATGGTTTGGATGTGGCATTTTTTCTTATTAGCCTTTTAGTCTATAAAGTTTATGCCAAATGAGGGCTTTGTCTTATTGATTTTTTAGCCTATTTTATTTTTTTGTGGCTAAAATAACTAAAAAGTCAGAGTTTTTGGCATGTCAAACAAAGGCTATATGAGTTAGGAAGTTTACGTAGTGTGTGCCCAACCAATGGTATTTTCTTTTTTTTATTTATTTATCATTTTCGTGTTTGTAGGGCCATGTAATTCTTATACTGTATTTGGTTGGGGGATTTAGAAAGGGAAAGGAAAAAGGTGTGTGAAATTA